TTTTTTGCTAGGATATCACTTCAGTGCGTGCAAAGATGTTATTGATGCCGTCTTTTAGTGGTGTGAGACTCAGGACAAGTCATTCTATAATCTGACATTAAACATTTGCAGCACAGAATGCATAGACATATTGAAATATCGTGTAGAGAAATCATAATGAAAAAAAAATTATGGCTGAAACATTCTCTTCACTGTAAGGCTCAAAACCTTTTTTCCCCCTTACAAATCCGAAGCCAGTAATGGCTACCACATTAACACGTCATTTCGTAGTGCAGCACGTCCTGTTGGCCTTAGAAGGAATGTCTTCCAACCTTAGTACCGTCATAGTTTCTCAATATGTATGTGAGATATAAAACGTATGTAAGTAAAAGTCTAACTTTAATTAACAATAGCTCTAAAATTCTTCGTTTTAATTTGGGTATTTCCCTTTTTTTGTTCTAAAAGTAGAAATTGGTTACAATAATTTTTCTGGACTGTGTCTTTCCAAATTCATGACATCTTATGTAATGCTTACCATTGCGAACAGATCTTATCCAATCAGATTAAAGAAACTTTTGGTTATACATCTCGCGCTTTACTAGATGCGGGCCCTTTTTTTACTTGGCCTTGCTGCTGCAAAACATTCATCACTTGCCTCTGCGTTCTATTGTTCATAGTTTGAAAACGTAAGCTATTAAACTCTAAACCAACATTTAGAATCTGATCAAATACCAGATTGTTAGAAGATGAAAGTATACTTTGTTGTACTCTTCCCCAGTGATTATACACATGTATATTATTCCTTGCATCCTATTCTAAGGGAAAATGAAATTAGTGATAGAACATACCCGTAGTTCTCCTAAGTATGCTCATAATGCTAAAAATTATTTTTTAAAAAGAATCATGAACTGGCTTTTGAGTGCTTTATCAGTCGCATTCCTCTAGCCGTAGTTTTAGCAAAAATGCTATCCCTCACACATATTAGAACACAATTTTTTTGTATTATTATTGTAAGGTAATATAAAATTTTCTTCACTAAATATGTAAGACCTAACTTAAATATACGTAATTAAATACGTGTAAATTAAATATGTGTATACCTAACTTAATTGTTAGCCTTAATTCGAATTTCGTTATATTTACACAATGACAAAAGCCAGTAACCTTGTATAAGGTGTGTGTATTGAGGATACGGCAAAGCACACTAGGGCTATCTGCCTAAGGGGAGGGATGCCTTTCGTGGAGGACTTTCTAAGGGAAACTGGCTCGTATACACGTTACACATGGGGAGAACCACGAAAACGCCCATGCAGCCAGCCCGTTCGCGGGATTCGAACCTCGGACCGAACTACCAGTGTTCAGCGATTTTACCGCTCGGCCGCTGGTGGGCTCCTTGTATAAGGAACAGGGTTTTTATTTGGTATTGTGTTAAGCATCGCACAGCCATCAGCAAGTAGTTACGCTTATTCGCTAGTAGGAGGACTTGTCCATACTTGTCCATTCAGCGTAAATGTGTGATTTTTACGCAATGGACTTTTTGTCAAAGTTTATTATGTTATTGTATTGTATTTTGCTAATTTTCTATGTTATTAATATGTATGTTGTTATTTCTATGTTATAATCACTTACACATTGCTTTACGTTAATAAAGTTTAGATTGTTTTATAATAAGTAAAAAATATTTTAATACAATTTCATGAATATGTAAAACAAGGGTTGTTTGCTTTTATACTGAATAAAACAGGTTTTCAAAAGATTTTTAGGAGAAGAACTGCAATAGTTATATAACGATATTCAAACAAAAATTTCCAAGTCCTGTGAACTTTTACCAATATTTCTCAAAATATTTAGGACAACTTTTATGATGTTTTGAGAGAAAACGAACTCGCAGACTTGATATTCGTGCCGCTAAGCCTAATTGCACTGAAAATTTAAATAGAACTCTAAAATTTGCATTTATTGTTGAAAATGTTATATACAAAATTTTGTTTAAAATTGTGGTCTCAAACTCATATTGCACGCGAGACAAATGCACGAACTGAAAGTAGCTGAAAAAAAACCAAAATAAAATTAAAAAAAAAAAAAAAAAAAAAAAAAAAGAGAGAGAGAGAAAAGGAAAATAAAAGAAAAATAAAAGAAAAAAAGGCGGGGAAAGGTAAAAAAAAATTTTTTTTTGGGTTAGCGAAGCAAAAGTTTTCATCTAAATTTAAAATATTTTGCTTGCATATTTGTTCAAACGTGCATATAAAAATATCGCAAAGAAAAAATTCAAATTTATACTTATTTTCTACCTGAAACCTAGAAGGTGGTACCTGAAAGAAATTTTTGTCAGTCACAAAATGTAATTGTAATTCAAATGCGCTAATAGCGCGTTTGAATTACAATTTCAGATTAACTATTTATTTCTAATGCAGTGAAATAACCACTAAATAACTTACTCTTTAAGGAAAAATCAAGAACCCGAAAATTTCCCAAGCAGTACAAAACTGAAGAGCAAACAATGACAATTAAGACACTTTTTTTTTTTTTTTTTTCTTTTCTTACATTTTTCTATGACGCATACAAAAAATAATATTTGTATGCAAGTATTAAGTTGGTTGTTAATATTTGTATGTAATATTGTTTCTTGTTACACCTTTCAGGTACAACACCTCAGCATTTCGATTTTCACGAAGTTTGTAATCTTGGAGGAAAATAGTAGAAAATGTCTTCATCACAAATCGTAGGCACTCATCATCAATCTGATTCTTTTAGTGGGCTTATAAATATGCAGATACGAAACAAAAAACTGTTCACATGAGAATGTACTCCCAAACAAAATCATTATTCCAAAAAATCCTAACTATGATATCCTTTATTCTTAGATAAGTATTAATGAAAGTTAATCAAAGTTGTATCTTCAAATCTTCCAATAAGTTTTAAATTAATTAATTATAATTTTTGATTTTCCGGAAAGTTACTCATATTCGTTTTGCAGTGCAAATTAATTATTAATTAATTATAATTAATTAATGTGCAAATTAATTAATCAATTAATTATAATTAATTAATGTGCAAATTAATTAATTATAATTTTAGATTTTCCGGAAAGTTACTCATATTCGTTTTTGGTAATGAAAATAATGTAAAATTGAACTTCAAACTACTAAAACCTTACACTTTTTACTTCCTTGTAGGAAGTAAAAAGGAAGTATTGTAATCGCGAAAAGTTTCAGGCAGCATATTTCAACGAAAATATCCATTTTGACCGCTTTCGAATGCAATTTAACGATGTTTTTGCGTGATATCTGTACGTAAGGACAGAATAAAAGACTCTTTTCCTCCAAAAAAAACTAAAAAACTGCTTTAAAATGAATTCTGAAGAGAATTTTTCGTGGCGTCCGTACGAACGTACATACGTACGTATACGTACGAACGTATGTACGTGCGTGCGTACGTACGTATCTCGCATAACTCAAAAACGAGTAGCTTCAGAACGTTGAAATTTTGTATATAAGACTATTATAACATGTAGATGTGCACCTCGTATTTTGGTTTCAATCGGCCGCGCCAAACGTATATAAATATATTTATAAATATATCCACTCTGTTACCCGGCTCAGTGATCTCAGTTTCTTTACTCTTATATGTTTGTAAATTGCACATTTTTTGCTTTAAAAATGATTGAATTATGTTGTTTTTATCTTCCGGTTAAGGGTTTTATGCCTTTAGTAAATCTGTATGCAATATTTTTAGAATTATCAACAATTTTAAAATTGTTTAAGTGCCGCTAAGCCTAATTTGATGGCGGCCATTGCTCTTGTTTACATTTGAAACAGCTGAGTAGCGGATTTGTTGCCAATCTAGAGAAACTTAGCTTCGCAACAACAAAGATAACGCCTTCATTTATTATTTAAATCATGCTTAATCCTTTCTGGAATTTTTTCGAGGAAATAAGCGTTTAAGATTTACTTCGTAATTTTTAATACATATATTTTGAGTTTTTATGTGTTTTTGCCTTGTCGCGAAGTGAAAACTGAATTAATTGAATGAGAAATACTCAATCGTCTGTGAAAACTGTTTCTTTTTTGTTTTGTTTGCTTAATTTATTTTATGCATAGTTCTAGCTTTATTATAGTATTTGAATAGAACATGTGGCAACGAATAGAAAATTCTTTAAATGACATAAATTTTGTGCATTCTGAGTTAAAATATGAACGAAATATAATACTGTTAAGTAAACCTAGCGCCAGAGTGTCGCTGTGGTAAACAAAGTGAATTTTAAAGAATGCATTTATTGTATTGTGGTTTATGCGCTGTCGGCGAAGTAGGTTTAATTCAATCTAATAAGTTTAAATGAAATGGAAGAAAAAATGCGTATAATTTAATATTCCGTACAAGGAAGTCATGGGGTGTACACATCAGATTTTTTAATTCATGTCGTAATAATTCTGATTATATTACGAGAAATGCATTCGCGGGCCGTATAGAAATCATTTGGGTGCTGCATGCAGCTCGCGGGTCGCCAGTTTGAGACCATTGCTTTAAAAAAATGTATAGATCAAAATTTAATGATTTTTTCAAAATTATATGTATCCTCACTGGCAAACGCTCTATCTTTTTTTTTTTTTTTTTTCTGAAAAGGCTTTTCTATCGCTAAGTCTTTTTCTCCTTGAAGAAGGTAATAATATACAAGATAAAACATATAATAATATACAAGAAGGTAATAATATACAAGATAAAAAAATATGTAAGTCAAAATTATAATTTAAATTAGCATTAGCCTGTATACTTCATTTTAATTTGGGTATTTCCCCTTTCTGTTTTAAAAATATAAATTGTTTGTAATAATTTTTTCTGGACTGCGTTTTTCCAAATGAATCCGTTTTATACCATCTTATATAACGCGCAGCATTGCGAACAGATCTCATTCAGTCAGATGAAAGAACCCTTTTGACTCTATATCTCACCCTTTACATTATCTCTTGTATATTATTACCTTCTTTGCTGGTTGCGTCATGGAGGTAAGAAAAGTATCTTACTTCCTTATCTCCCATGGGTTGCGTACCCTTTTTCAAGCCTGACCTTGCTGATGCCAACACTCCTCGCTTGCCTCTGCGATCTATCGTTCATGCCAGGAAGTGCAAGCTATACAAAAGTGCAGGGTGATTATCGCAGCCATGATGATGGTGCGAGAAGAATATGTATCATAAGAATTAACTATACAGAAATACATTGTCCTTTCGTCTTTAGTCTCGTCTGTCTGTGAATGTTATCTTATATATCTACTCAGCTATCTTCTAATCATAGAGATATTTACAGAATTTATTATACAAATAAATATGTATATGAATCTACTCACCTAAATAATTAACTGCTAATTCTCAGGAAATCTACCCAAAATTTTAAATATGGAGTATTTGACCGCCTGTGTCGAACTCACTAGCAAGATATGGCAGAATTTTTAAAATTTCGTAAAATCGCAAAAAAAAAAAAAAAAAACGCTGCATCGCCAAATATAGTTAGATTTGTATATTTTCTATTTATTGTTTACTTTAAGCAGTTAATTCGTTTTAACATTATAATGCTTCTGAATAATCAAAAGCATTTTCAGTTTTCGTTGCATTGCGTTATTTCCTATAACTTCACTATATCGAAAATGATTCGTCAAATTTTCAAAAGAGCTGCAATTGGCACTTAATTGAACTTTGAATTGTTTCTGACGAAAACACAATATTGCTGCGTACGTACGGGTTCGTAATGGATTGAATAGACTCAGAACCGATGATAGCTTTCTAACACTTATTTTCTCATTTTCTTTTTTTTTTTTTCTCTCTCTCAAATTACACTTTACAGACAAAGTTTTTTAAAAAAATATTTTCTCTTTTTTTTTTTTTTTTTTTTTTTTTTTCTTTCCCAAATTACACTTTACAGTTCCGGAACTTTCGAGAAAAGTACTCGCACAACTCTTCTGAGTATAACAGAGTACAGTCAATAGTTACCATTTCAGACTACTAATAACATTAAAGACGTAAACGTTACTACCATCAACGTTAAACACAATGCAAAGCTCGCACGATCTCTCAACACTCCGAAATCAGTCTGAAACAAACTGAGAAATGATGCTTTCTCCGGGATTATATATAGTTTTTTTCCCGGCCGCCGAGAAATCACTAGTACCTCAAATTTCTCGAAAGAAGTGGAAGGCATATATGGTTAAAATTACATATAAGGGCCGGATATGATTACAGTTACATGTAGGGATCAACTAAAATTTTTCAATTATAGTACAATTATAGTACAATTATACAAGGACTGAACCGAAATGTCGCCAAATGATGGTCAAGATTGGCAACTTTGGACAATTTCTCTCCAAATTTGGCGACAAACACTTGTCGCCCAAACCATCGTCCACTTAGCGATGTCGCGCCAATTTAGAATTCAGAGAGATAGCCATTTGCCTCAATGTTAAACAGACTTGCCCGTGTAACTTTATTTTTCCGCATAGCTTCGCTCACCTCAGACTTTTCAAGTTACATTATACAAAAGATACTATAGTTTCACATATAATTCCACTAAAATTACTTACATATATACAAAATTCGTAACAATACATTTGATTTTACAACACTTAAAAAGGAAGATTTTGAGTTAAAATTAACAACTAAATTCCGATAAAGGAAACAACCAAGGCGGGAAGGGGGAGGAAAAAAGAAACTACAGAAAATAATAGTGAAGATTTTATTCAACCAAATGTCTACCTTTTCTCAGAATTCAGCGCGCTTTAAGAACTCAACATCCCAAGGTCAAAAAAGCACTTGCACAATTTTCGAGTTTCAAAACCTTAAAATCTGGTGTTTGAAGTTAAATAATAAAATTCTTTACATTTTGTTTAAGGTACTTTATATGCATTCACTTAAATGATGCAAAATCCTGTTACCGTTTTTGCAAATATTTCTATTCTTGCAAGCTCCAGATAGCTTTAGTTCAACTTGCGATCAAGTTTATATATTGCATTTAATATGATCTGGATATTGTTTTAAAATTATACAGCAGGTGTCTTAAAACATGAAGCTTTACGCAAGAAGACATTAAACTGATAAACGTAGTTTTCGAAGTTTTAAAAGAATATGACAATCCAAAGGCAATTACGTTTAGTAAAGAAGTAAAAGAAATCCTAGTTTCAGCAACTGAAGAAACAGATTATGAAAGTAACGAATCAGATGGCATATTTGAAACTGAATTCCCGCTATTCATCAAATAATAAATAAGTAAATAGACCATTCAGTTTTATGTCATGAGATTTTAGGAAAATGCGATAAATTTCAGGATAAGACGAAAGAAAAATTAGTTTTTATTTAGTTTTATTATGTTTCATACATAAAGAAAGATATTTTGTATAAACAGCGGAAAAAAAAGCTTATTAATTTTGAAGACAGCTTTTTCAGCTTATTAATCTTAAAGGCAGCTTTTTCAGCTTATTATCTTAAAGGCAGCTCTTTTGCCATCTGTTCTTTTCATGACAGCAACAATGAGACAAAAGGGAATTTTCACCAAAATTTAGTCATAAAATTAATTAATGGTTTACTTAAATAGAACTGAAAGCCTACTTCTGCTAAATTTTGAACGAATTACTAATTTTAAGTTTTCAAAGAATTATATGGGAGGGGGAGTTGTAAATTACCAAATATATAAAGACGCCATATGTTTTACTTTTAGCACTCTAAGCAGAAGAAAATACATCCATTTGCAAAACTAAAAACTAATCTTAAAAAAAAAAAAAAAAAAAAAAAAAAAAAAAAAAAAAAAAACTGAACCGTAAGTAATGGCTTAAATACAAGTGTCCCATCATATCTAACGTGGACAGAAGGCATGTTTTTCGTTTTGCTGTCTAATCGATATATTAGTTTCCAACTATCGATTATCAAAGGAAACTTTTGACTTCAATGCAGGCAATGCAGCTATTTACTTTTCTTTAGAACAATACACATTTCCGAAAATTTCATCGTTGACATTGAAACGTTTACATCTTTAGGTCGAAAACGATGTACGTGTTGATTTTGCTAATTGTTGTTTGGATGATGAACTAGAATAACAGCTGTAAACACTTTTTCCTGGAAAGATAACATCGATTTATAACCAGCGGTTTTATTTCTTAGGAGTTGATCTTTTTTTCATTTCCTATTTGCTTTTTAGATTTTTATTTTATCGAAAATTATGACGATGTTTATCTCCACGGAGCATGCGCGCTCAAATTTTTATGCACTGTCTTTCTCTGCTGGACTACTGCAACAAAACGTAATGAGTCAGAATAAAAGAGAAATTTCAGCTACTTTGGGCCGTACATGCTTTTAACTGAAATCGAACCAAAAAATTCTAAAAGAACATTTGCTTATCCATAAACTGGTAAATCACATGTTAGCTATAAATATATTATTATAATAAGCTACATATATAAAAACCATAAAAGACAGTATCCATATCAAGCAAAGAAGAAAAATTTTCACTGCAAACAAAAATATTATTGTGATTATGTTTAAAGATAGAAATTATTGTGTAACTCCGTAAACTGAAAAATTTTTAATGAGTCTTTCTTGGACCAAAATAAATTTAAAGGATATTTTAACATTTAAGTATTTATAAATGAACTTGCTTGCGTTCTAGTAGCTTTGTTGCAAACAAGGAGAAGACTAATCATAGATTCGAACATTAGTTCACAATACAAACTACAAAAGTCATCAGTGGCATCTCTGTATTGATCTCAATGTTTTGTCATAATCGAAAGAGCTGCGAGTAGGTTTTTATGAAATATTCATTTTTTATAAAAATGAAATAACTGAGTACGATACAACCACAGTATCATATACTGGTACTTAAAATGAAAAGAATTTGATTATTTTAGCCATTTTCTGGAAACTCATCCAACGAAAAGTAGAAATTATGATTCCAAACCGAAAATTCAGATCTCTAGTGTCAGCTAGGCAAGCATACGTGCTCGTCTATACAACAAAACGTAATGAGTCAGAATAAAAAAGAAATTTCAACTTCTTTGGCCGTACATGCCTTTAAACAACAGTATTTAGGCTAACGGTTGTTAAAAACGAGCGAGGCATTTTCCGCGCTTAGTTCACTGCACTACTCAGCGACCTTCGTGGTACTTTTTTTTGGGAAGTGGGGGAACAACATTTGTTAGATTCAAAATCAGAAATTTAAAATGTGTCACCGCTGTTTGGATGACGGAATGTAGTGGTGAATCGTCAAGAGACTGAAAATAAAGCAGCCTTAAGTGCAAATTGGGTGTTCTTTCGTGGTTTACCCCATGGGGAAACTTCAATCCAAGTCAGTCTCTCGTAAAAAGTTCTTCATGAAGCTCTCTTTAGGCAGATGGCGCTCCTGTGCTTTTCTTTATTCAAATACTTACATCAGGGTTTCTTAAATTTTTTTCAGTCGCGACCCCTTTTTATCACTGAGATTTTTTCGCACCCCCAGGACTCCATAAAAATTTTGTGGAGCCCATAAGTATTGCGCAAATCCGACACACGCGTGAGTGAAACTGTCAATTTTTTCACTTGTACTGTAATATACTATTGCAGTTTTAGGTCATTAACTTTAATTTCTAATTTTAAGACATAGAACAATGTGAAAATTTTAAATAAGTAACAGACGAAATCAACGCGTCACGTGCAAAGCAAGAGAAATGAACGTTTCTATTATAAAAAGAATGCGTCGAAACGTTTTCCTTTTTTCTTTGCCTGTATTTCTTTGCCTTATCTATTTTCAGATACACTGTGTAAAAATATTTGGTAATTAAAAAATATTATAATAAGTTAAAGAAATATCAAAACTGCTAAAATTTTTGGCGACCCCCTGCTGCAGGTCCAGCGACCCACAGTTTAAGAAACTCTGCCTTACACGAATGAATTTTTCTGATATGCGCAATACGATATGTTATGAACTAATCAAACGATACTGCTGCACAGCGCAATCATTCGGTGACTAAGAAAGGCCTATCTGGAAACCCATCTAGATCACTTTTTTTTTTGTTGTTGTTAATAGAAGACATATGTTCGGATAAAAATGGGCAATTTTTTATGTGTTCTAATTGTTAAAGTCACATTTATCAAACTATATGTAATTAGTAGCTGTACAG